CTGATGGGCATGTTCCTTTAGGCCCTGTTCCAAATGATGTCCGAGAGCCTGTTGGTCTGGCTTTGCAATTTGCATATGCCATATGGTATTCAGAGTGACCACTTTCTACCCTCTGAAGTGGAAGTTTCCTGTTTAAATTCATTCTGGAGCAGTTATTGTTGTGCTGTTATGTATGAGGTCTGGGGGGAACTTGATGTTTTTCTTATGATGCAACCTCCAAATTTACTTCAAACTTTGATTGGGGAGCAAGCAAAATTGCTCCAAAACTTGGGAACAAGCAAAATGCACCTTACAGTTTTTTCAAGAACATTTTTTGGCTTCTCTCAAATCCACTCAGATTTTTCACCTTTGAAAGAATATTCTTCTTTGGATATTGATGTAATCAAAATCCAGTGGTACCCTCGGAATACATGGAAACCATGACTGAGAAATTTCATTAACCTTGTGGAAACCTTTTATTTTTTATTTATTTTTTACCCTTTATCAAAATTCCTTAAATAGCTTGCCTAGAGAGGAATGCCCAAGTTGACTTTAAATTTTGATATATGTAAAAAAATGGATGGTGTGATCTGTAAAAGTGGGAAATATATGCTCAGTTCTTCCTTAGATCTTGCCATAGACCTTAAAAGGCAAGGTATCTGAGCACTCATAGTAACGGACTAGTTCAGCCATAATGAAAAATAATGGTTTCCTGCTACGTGATGGACCATGATGAGTCTTGGACTTGCATGTTCAGAAGCTTTCAGTTGGTTAACAAAAACAAGCTACAAACAAACATAGTTCTCTGTGACATCTGAATTGGGTAAACTGTGGTTTGTTTAAACTATGGTAAGAAAAAGGATGGATCAGGCCAGAGTTTCAGATCCTTACTTGTTCTGAAACCATAGTTTACAGTTTATATGTTTGGTTTAAAATAAGGAACAAACACTTCTGACCTTCTCATGCACAAATGAGAATATATTCGGGAAGCCTGAGACTCACTGAAGCATATTCACATCACAGGAAACCATGGTCTATCACAGCGGTGGGAACTTGATTTGCATCCTGACCTCAGCCCAGCCCTATGGGCCATTTGTAAAAGGTTTCTTAAATTATGGTGCCATGAGTGAGTCCTGCCCCTCGCCAAGGAACAACTGAGAGCCCATCTTAAGGCATCAGAGCTGGAAGTTTCCCACTGCTGGTTTACTGTTATGCTGAACTAGACCAAGTCTCAGTGATAAAATGATGCCTGTTATCTAGATTATCTAGGGGCTGTTGCCAAGTATATGAAGCACAAGGAACTCCACAAAAACTATTGACATTTCCTCATTCAGAAATAAGCTAATGTGAAAAATAATTGCATGTTTCCGATTGTTGACAGTGCAAGATCATTTGACACTTCTGATAAAATAGGATACAATGTACGTTTCTTCAGAGTATGCAGTTTGCAAAAGACCAATAAAACAGGCATATCTGTCAGTTTAATCAATATAATGTGCCACATGAAAAATGCTTTCCAATCTCATTTTAGTCTGAAATTTATCTGTGGGGATCAGAGAGCACATTGGCAAATTTTCAGCATTCAACAAGCAGTTCAATGAGCAGTTTGTAAGTGTTCTGTCAGGGTAAAACAACTTAATGTGACAGGTTCCTGGTGACTTGTATCATAATGTTCTCCTTAAAAAGTTTATAATAGTACTTAATTTGGGATAAAGTGACAATACAATCTGTGGATTTATCTTGTTGGGAAAAAGCAAGAGGAAATGGTATTCTATTCTGAGCCAACATTTTCAGAGTACATAATATAGTGCGCTATAGATAATGTTATACCACAAGGGTTGCATCCAGACGTGTCCCTCCACTGATGGAAGACTCATTGATCCAGTGGAGCCTTCTGTTAGTGGAAAGCAGGAAGGCAATTTTCTCTGATTCTAGATTTCTGTAGCCCACCGCAGCTGTCCCAAATTCATATTCAATATTCATGAATAAACCTACACAGTCCATTCAAACAGCCTTTAAAATTGGAAGGGAGATGATTATGGTGTGGGGAGAGCTAGGTCATTTGGAGTATATGAGGACTTGTAGGGTGGGGAGTTGCAGAGCGCCGCTGTTTAAATGGGATTTACAACCCCCCATGCGTTACTGGAAACAATTTTACAGTTTTCTGGATCCAAGCAATGGAATATTATTTGTTTATTGGTAAATAATCTGCATAGATAAAATGCCAGTCCTCCACATCGCGTTATATGTTTGCATAACTAGGAAATATACCCCATATGTGAGCCATGCAGATGAAGAGGTGCAGCTATACAGGTAAGAGCAAGAGCCATGGTTGCCAGGACTATACTTTGTTTCAGCCAGCAGCGCCCTCTCAGGGATGGGCCAAACCCAGGTCAGACACAGCTGAGAGCTGGTTCCAGGGGAGCCAAATCCATAAAGGGTATTGTGAGCAGAGTCAAGTCAGGCCAGGGTCAAATTCCAGAAAGGGAGGTCACCCAGAAGAAGTCTGCTGGGCAGATGAAGTGGAAAGTCAGGTCTTAGATAAGTAGAACAAAGAAACGCTTAGCACCATCATTCGTCTGGAAGTGTGACTAGTTAATCTTGAACGCTGTGCCTCCAACTAGCAAACTCTGACTGAATCTACTAAGTAGAGATTTGGCTTCCTTCAGACTATTCACTTTTGCTTTTGTCTCCACAAAGAAACAAGTGTCCACCTTTAAAGGGAACCTGCTTGCTTTAGGAGTCTTTGATGATGGGATGTAGAGGTGGTTGGAGCATGAATGTGGCTTCAGAGCTGGAGTTCTTGGATAGTAGTTGTATCTCTTTAGGCTGAAGATGTTGATTATCCTTTCTGATGATGGGAGTTCTGAGGTGGTAGGGACATTGAGGATTGTTTCTAAAGCCCAGTTTGGTTTGAGAAATTGTCTTCCTGCTGTCTGTGAGGACATGATCAGAGCCCTGTGGAATGCAGGTGAGCATCTATCCCAGTGGCATCATACAACTTAATATTATTCCAGATTCACTTGCATTGGAAAGTAAAGTGCATTGTTGCAACAAGGGAGAAACCTGCCTCCTTTCCCCCACATATGGTGACCTTGTCTTTTTACTGTCGGGCATTGAGATGCAACGTGCCTCTCTGGGAAAAACATAAGAAACACTGCACTGCTCTCAAAATGTAAAGAAGAAGCATTCTTAGGAAGAACTATATGTAAAATAATTATATCTAACGTAACATGCAATATCATTCCCAACTTATGGCTCAAATGGGTAGAGATGTGTTGTGAAAAATATACATAATGTATAGAAAGAAAGCATGCAACCAAAGTTCAAAATATTTTAAAACAATGAAGATTTGAAAAATACAGTTGCATTTTGACTATAGAGGATTTTTCAGTTCCTGCATTCGTCCCAGAAAAACAGCTATCTCATTTGCTAAATAAATAGCTTTTTATGGCACATATATTTCAAGGGCGATTTTTACATCTATGAGTTAATGAAGGTTAAGATATGGTTTCTGCTTAAAGAAATAATAGTCAATTACTCGAACAGATTTCAAGATTTGATTTTGGTCTTCTACCTATCAAATGAAATTAAATCTTTATGATGGAGTTACATCCAGTTGTTAACCAAGTATCTCTGTTCTGTTTTTAAAACTGTAATTACATTTCTTGAAAATTATAATGGTTTGATACAAAATTAATTTAAACCCATTAGTTTAACATCTGTAAACATTTCCATTATAAATTCTCAAAACGCCACATCTTGTTTTTGCCTGAAGATGGTTTCCATATTCCCATTGTATCAAATCTGGGCTGCTTAATTTGCATATTATTGATGCAAATTGAGGACATTAATTTATTCCTGTGGAAAGGCATCTCATGTCAGGAAAGAGTGGCTTTTCTCATTTGTCTATTTATATATTAATACTTATACATAGATACACTGCCTACTCCTTGTTTCTTCTTTGAGAGATCAGCAGAGATGTGGCAGAGTTTTGTGCTCACTTGTCCCCATTTCTCATATTTTAAAATTACATGGCTCTGTATTGGTTTTCCCTCAGATCTTGAATCTTGCTGGATGTGTGCTAAAATCCAGTCATCTTGCATTAAATTGTGAAGTTTTTTCTTGGTTAGGAGGCATACTTCTTTGGTAACGTTTGAATTTGATAGAACTCAAGGGAGGGCCCAGCTAGTGGTTATTTTGCACTCTGCTTCACCTCTGCTCAATAAAGATATCTAGTAAACACAGTACAAATATAAAAATGATATGTATCCCACGGTCAGGATAGTTTATATTTGCTACCAGGCACGAGTGTTGCAAAGTATATCCCTACTGCCTGCAATGAAGCTGGTTTTGTGACCCAGGCTATCTCTCATGTCCTGAGCCACATAAACCTGGCACTTAGCTTTAGAGTAAATCAAGCAGGTCAAAATATTCGCTAATGCAAATAATATGCCCAAGAATGGGATTTATGATGTGTTACTAATTCCATTTAGAGATTATGTGACCTGAGCAGAGAGAAGACGAAGGCTGCTTAACATTAATGTATTTGTTGAAACAAACAAATAAATAAAAGGTTCAGGGTCAGTTCACACTCTCCTAAGTACATGGCGAAAGTGCTGTGCTGGTGGAACACTATGGGAATTAGCAAGGAATGGGTTGTGCTACCAAAAAAACTCACATCCTCCCCAAACACCCCAAAAAGTACTGGGTAAAATTAGACCTTTAGGAGGGAAGCAAGAGCCATCTAGGCAACTAGATTTGTAGGCCAGTTGATTTGTTGCTATTCATATTAATTTGTGGACATTTATTCCCATTAGACTACAGATGACAGCCTTAGTGGTTGTGTGTCCGAATGAAAAAAAACCAACTATAGGTTAGATTTTTACATATTATCTGTCCTGAATCGGTTGGTTCTCAGGGTTGTTGTTTGGTATTGGTAAAATGTTGTTATAAGTTTGGTTGTTGTACTGATACTCTTTTTTATGAGTTAATTATGGAATGTTCATTTTTCTTGGTAGGAAAACATAATGGAAGTTATAAGAAATCAAGAGTTTTTATTGTTGCCAGCAGAGGAACTTCATAAACTTCTTGCAAGTGATGATGTGAATGTTCCCGATGAAGAGACCATTTTCAATGCCTTAATGAAGTGGGTTAAGTATGACATGCAAAGGAGATGTAATGACCTGAGTATGTTACTTGCCTACATCCGATTACCACTTCTTCCACCACAGGTAAATTGTTCTTCTTAATAAAAGCTGTATTTTTTAAAGGCATAATATTTTTTGCTTTCATAAATAAAGAGTTTTGAAGCATGCATCTTGCTCAGCGATTTGAAGTTATGTTTTAGTCTTGTCATATTTATAAAGTCTCGGCCAGTGGCTTACCAGTTTTCTTCTGTAGACCAGGGGTAGCCTGTCCTGTTTCGGCACCTGAGGTCAAGCAAGAACGTGCCACTGCCTGCCCACTACCACCGTTGAGTCCTTCCATTTCTGTCATTGTCACTTGTCTTCCGCCATGGGGTGGGGAGATGAGTGGCAACACTGCAGTTGGGAACGCCCCAGCTCACACTGAACTTGGCAAGATCCAGGACGCTCCTCAAAACTTGCAATTTCTCTTTTTTTTATATAAGATATTTATTAAAGTTTCAACGTTTTACAAAAATAAGAAGGAAAAAAAGAAAATACAAAGTAAAAACAGTTAAAAACAGATCAGTTTTTCCAAATCTTATCTTTCATTTGCTTGTTTCCCTGACCTCCTCACACCTCCCTTTTTGTATTCCAGTTCAATTAGTTAATTCAGCAAATCCTTTCCCTCTTTGATTTTATCTTAATCTTTTATCTTAATATATTATAGCTTTATATTATCACCTGTTAACAAACCATTTTACATATTCCTTTATAACATTGCTGCTAAAAACCGCTTAACTTCAATCCAACATCATTCTAACATTCATTAATTTTGCAGTATTTCTGTAAATAGTCTTTAAATTTCTTCCAATCTTCTTCCACCGACTCTTCTCCCTGGTCTCGGATTCTGCCGGTCATTTCCGCCAGTTCCATATAGTCCATCACCTTCATCTGCCATTCTTCCAGAGTGGGTAAATCTTGCGTCTTCCAATACTTTGCAATAAGTATTCTTGCTGCTGTAGTAGCATACATAAAGAAAGTTCTGTCCTTCTTTGGCAAAAACTTGCAATTTCTCTTCCCCCACCTGTGAATGAAGAGGCACAGTAAGGAGGAAACGGGATGTGGGGCATGACAGCCCCAGGGGTGGGGAAAATGAGCAGCTGCTATAGTTGACTAATTCTTTGCATCAGGCCCTCTTGTATTTGGAGTATTAATGACAGAAGTAGTGGTGGTGGCCTTTAAGTCATTTGAAGAATGTGTTGGTAGTAGTTTATTCTGCAGCTCATTGAGAATCAGCTGTATAAAGATTAGAAGAAAATTATCTTTGCTATAAGACGGCTGAGCTGTTATGACTTGTCTCCCTCTCTGCCATTATTAATAAAGTTGGCACTTAATTTTGCCTAAAATGAAATTTTAGTAAGAATTTGGATGTTCTCCTAGGACAAAATATTTGAGGAATTTTAAAGGAAGCAGAAAGTGTTTCAGGTTGATAGACAGGCATGGATTAGCTCTGCTGCACCAAGCTCCCCACACCTTACATTTTCCCTTCAGTAAGCACCAGTAGTGTGCTGTGTTTGGAAGACAGGAGAGCAGCATTGTCCCACAGCATTATGCACAGGCTGATAATGTGGGTTGACCAATTTGTTGTTAGTCGTTTAGTCATGTCCGACTCTTCGTGACCCCCTGGACCAGAGCACGCCAGGCACTCCTGTCTTCCACTGCCTCCCGCAGTTTGGTCAAACTCTTGCTGGCTGGAGTTTGGTCAAGCTCCATGGACAAAGACAACAGGGTTGACCAAAGATCCATCTATTCTAGCATGCTGTTTCCCCAGAATAACCAGACATATTCCTGTGGGAAGCCCCAAAGCATGGCATAAGGACAAACCCCCTCTCTTACTTTAGGCACCCAGGCACGGGTATTGAGGCATGCTGCCCCAATTGCAGAACGTTTTACTTAACTTTGATGTCTACTAGCCATACATAGCTGTCTTCTCCATGAATTTGTCTAATCTCCTTTTTAAAATCCATCTGTTTGCAGCCCTAGTAGTTAATTAACTATGGGGTTGGTAGTTTAACTATGTGCTGCATGAATAAATACTTCCTTTTATTTACCTTACTTGGATATCCTCTGGTTCTAGTATTTTAAGAAAGATGTCTCTATATATTTTACACACTTCTTTCATGTCTTTATTTACATCTTTTCTAAACCAGTGTTTCTCAAACAGTGGGCCTTGAGCCACTTTCAGGTGGGCCATGGTGCCACAGTCTGCCATAGTTTTTTGGTTGGACCAGTGCTAGCACCAGCCATTCCTCGCATAGCATTTGCCTCATTCACAGCTGCTGCCTACTGGATTGGCATTTTTACTGAGCTTTCCATCACGTCCCCAAGATTTCTTGCCTGCCCCGTCACCATCAGCTAAAATTCCTTCCCCCACCCCTTCTCTCTCCACCTTCATTAGCTCATATGGATTTCTGCATTGTCACATCTGTTGATTTGCATTCTGTATCGAAAATATCTTGCTTCATAATTAAATTGACTTTGCATTGCTAGTCCAAGAGGATCTGACAGCTTTTGAGCTAATTTCATAGTCGTGTAAAATTTGTAATCATTTGACATCTGATGGCATCACAATAACGGAGTGACAGGGAAGAACCTGAACCACCAGAAATGTCAGTGTTTTTCAGAATTTCATGTACTGTTCTTCCACTAAGTGCAGTTAATGTGAACTCTTTGTACCTGTCACAAATGCTATTGAGATAAAAAAAGGTACTGGCAGTTTAATTCTAAAGCTATCAAAATTCTTTGTCTTATATATACACAATTTGACCCAAATGGCCATTCATTTCATGGCCTTATCAGTGGAAATTTTGAATAACTGACATGCTGCTTTTAAAATAAAAAAGAACTAGTGTAGAAGTTTATGGTTTTTTTAAAAGGAATTTGAAGTCACATCTCTTTGAATATAAAATGCCGAATTAATGTAACTGAATTAGTAACGAATCTTAAGTACTGTAGTTAATTCTAGTTAATTTCTTTAGTTAATTCTGGGGTATCAGTACATCAGAATAATGTTTTGATAAGAACTTTTCTCTCTACCGACAGTCCCGTTTACTGACAACAGTACAATTGCAGTATCAGTGAAGTCATTTGCCCAGGCAGGCGCATAATGTAACCCATGATAACAGCAAAATAATAAGACTGTGCAATGGTGATGGGATAAAATCAGGCCAAATCTTTATTGACAGCAGCAGGCAGGGTATTTTGCTGCAATCTATGGGTCACAGCGCCACTGGACAAAGGCGTCCCTTGCTTACTGGACACAGAACAAGGCATTTTTTTTATACAGGGTGCATAGTTCTTTTCATTGCTTGTTTTTTCTTTCTTTCCAAAGCCAAAATTATTCTAGAAGGCCAGATAGGGCCTGTTTATTTATGGCTTTAGCTGCAGTAAAACTGGGAGCAGCCTTTAAGGTCTTTCTAACTATTACCCCTATTGCAGGTAGAAGGCAATGAGTGCAACGGGGATTCAACACCTGAATGCACAATCGTTCCTCTTCACTAAGTAATTTCTATCCATGGAAAGAGGAGCAGGGAGAGGACGCAATTAACAAGGGTATATAAGCTACCTGTGCAGCTAGAGGAATTTTTCTGAGCCATCAATAGTGTGGGATATATCTAAACCTCAGGTGGAAGCCCATTCCTCAGCTGTCTGAAGGCATTGTGTCACTTGTAGTAGTCCTGACAGCATTTCTTGAATATGTTGTTGCTGTTTAGTCGTTTATTCGTGTCCGACTCTTCGTGACCCCATGGACCAGAGCACGCCAGGCACTCCTGTCTTCCACTGCCTCCCGCAGTTTGGTCAGACTCATGTTTGTAGCTTCGAGAACACCGTCCAACCATCTCGTCCTCTGTTGTCCCCTTCTTCTTGTGCCCTCAATCTTTCCCAACATCAGGGTCTTCTTGAATATACTCTCCACTAAATGTTTGGGGCAAACTACATGTTAACGCTAGGTACATAGCTGTGCTTTTAAGTGCAGAGTGCTTTTCTTAACTCAGGTTGCTGGTGTGGGCAGCCTGATCTGGATCAGGGCTCTAGAACCCACTGCTATGGTTCAGGCTTGTAATTTGCAGATCTTCCATTGAAGTGATATATTCTTTTCAAAGCAAATGGCATACACAGGATACTCAGAGCCAGATCAGGAGGAGATAAAGGGTTAAAGCCCCCAACCCTTATGCTAGGGTCTTGACCCTGCCCTTACTGGAAATTTGTCCTTAGAAGAAAAATGCCCCCTGCTCTAAATGGATCTGTCCAGTGGCTTGGGTAAAAAGTATATTTTTTCACTAACCTGTCCTGTGTTTAGCAGACTAGTGCAGTGTTTCCCAACCTTTTTTGGGCAAAGGCACACTAGTTTCATGAAAAAAATATCGAGGCACACCACCATGCCAGATGGGGAAAGGTCACTTTTTACTTATGTAAAAAAAAATAAAAAAATAGTAACTTCCAACGAATTCTGTAGGTTTTGTTTCTGAATCATTAAAGCTGCATTTGGGAAGGATTCGTAAGGGCGCACAGCAACTCAGTCCCACCAACTCCACAGCAGGGTTCTCAGGTTCAGTGAAGGGCTCCCTCAGGGGGGCACATATATACACCTGGGCTCCCGAAAAGCTACCGCAAGAGCCCTTCAGGAGTTCACATAGCGCAGGCCTGAAGGCTGCAGCTTCCCACTTAGCATCCCGCCAGAGGAGGAAACCTCAAGTGGTCGACCTGTTTTTTTCCCCCTCCCGCCTCCCTTTTGGAGCGCAGAGTTTTGAAGGCCGGCATCAACTCCGTTTTCCCGGATACTTCCCGCTCGAACCGAGGGCTGGGTGAAGCAAGGGCGGCACTGCGCGTTTTACCTCCACGGCGCAGGGGCTCTGGCTCGCCTTCAGCCACCGCACGACAGCGCTGACTGCCACTTCGTCCTGCAGCAACAGCTCCAAAACAGCCGCCATGCCCACCTCTCTCCTCCTCTAGCACTACCGCGCGGGCGAGCCTCCGGGGCGGGCGCACAAGGAGCGTGGGCGCCACCCCTCGACGCCGTCCCAAAAGCCGCCAAAAAGCCCTAA